GGCGTGCTATATTGGGTAAGAGAATATGGAAACTTAAGGGGTGGTGGAGAGATGGGGGTGGAAAAGAATGGTGCAGCGGCTGCCGGCAAGAATCTCCACCGTAGGTGTGTAGATACTGCCTTTATCAACCTAAAGGACGGTGATGGGCTTTTCGGTTATTTTACTAAATAACCTTTTAAAAATAATATTTTTAATTAACGGGTAAAATTGCCGATCATTGTCATGTTCACCAAGTAAAGTAAGTGACATCCACATGATCTAAGTTTCGAAATGCAGTGACGTCGACGAAGAAAAACGGAAATCGTATATCAAGAATATATAACAAGAAACTATGGAACCGAGATCCCAAAAAAACTTAACCTTTGAACCCTGAACCCTGAACCCTAAACCCTAAACCCTAAACGAATCCAACCAAATTGAAGCCATTTGAAGATGATTAAGTTAGTATTGTTAAGTCAATGTTGCTAAATGGCCATGGGCTTTTTAGGATTGTGGGTCCCATTTGTGGATTTGAGGTGATTTTGATCTTTGACTCGGAATGTTTGAAAAGAATTTCATTCTGTTGGTGGAGTTTTATAGATTTAAATTTTGACACTTTTCTGATTCTCCAATACATTTGGGATTCTCTTTATTTTCTTTTCCATTTTCTATATAAATATTTACCAATGTTTAATGATAGGTCTTTTTAGGGGCCGTTTGACAATTACTGAATAGTTTGGTGTAGAATGATTAAAAGGCTTTTATGATATAGTGCAAGATGAAATATAATTGTTTGATAATTTTGTACAATGAAATTACGGTTCTTAATGGTTAAGAGAGATTCAAAATACAAAACCATTTAGAGGGTTTTAGAACCATTAAAAGACATATTTTTTTTTTGTCATACAAGATTCACCTCTTAATGATTCAGAGGTTGTCTTTTAATGGAACTATTAAGAGATAAATAAATAACTCATTAATATTAGTTTGTTATTAGCCAGTTTTTTCACAAACCTGTTGTATTTTTAACTATCTGGTATATAAAATACAACAATTAACATTTGTTTGAGATAAATCTTCGTTACACAAATACTTTCTGTTTTCAAGATTGGATTCCAACAGTTTGGATGATGGGTGCCGTTTTATACGGTCATAAACTCATAATAAATGGTTAACAGTAAATTAAAAATTAAAAAAGCTATTTATTTTATTCAAACAGTTTAATTTTGTTTAACTTTCTTATGTAATATATTTGATCCATCTAGTTTATGTAATCCATGTAAAATGTCATTTTCATATGGTCGAGAAAATTTTCAAGCGTAACCCTTAAACTGTTAATAACACTTAGGCCCCGTTTTACCAGATGCTTACCCAGTAAGCGACTACTAGCAACAGTCGTCACTCTTACTTACTTTATTAGGTAACATTCACATTTATCAAAATGAATTGTTGATAAACATCCTTTACCTGCTAAGCACGAACCAGGTAAGAGTTTTTTTTCATCACTTAACGGGTAAAATTGCCGATCATTGCCATGTTCACCAGGTAAAGTAAATGACATCCAACAAGCATTTGATAAATGACCTATTAAACGAATTTGAAACCTAAATATGGTACTTGGTGCGTTATAAAGTGTAAATACATTACCACCATATCAATCATTTAGTTGAAATTAATATCAGGCAATAAATTATTTAAAGCTAAGGAGTTGTTTATCCAAACGTTTATCTGGTAGACACTTATCTGTAAAAGTTTGACGCTTTGATTTACCTTATCGGGTAACATTGTAGTCAATTAACTACAAGGATGGTGCCTGATTGGTTTGAGCTTGCCTCCAAAGGTTAAAAGTACCAAGAGGTCCCAGGTTTCAAATCCAATGAGGAATAAAAATCCCCTTGTGGCCACGGAGGTTCAAATGCGGTGACTTCGGGCTATCTGCAAAGCAGATGGTCGTCCTGGAATTAGTCGGCTCGCATAGCGGATTGGATATCCAGGTTAATAAAAAAAAACATTGTAGTCAATCAAAACAATATCGTATGCAATAATTTATCTACTAAATGATTACCAGATAAGAGTCGTCACCTTCACTTATCAGATAAAACTCTCCATCATTATCATCGCTCTTACCAGGTAAGATTCTCAGTATTTGTCATGTTTATTTGATAAGACGAATACCCAGTAAGCTAAGCGTTAAATAAATGATACTAAGTCACGAATTGGATATAATACCATTCATAACTAGATCTATAAACTAGTGAATAGCTTAGGGATCTAAATGCAATACATGCAAAATTTGTCTACTATTCAAATTATAGTCTATGTAATGCGAAATACAAAAAGTTTTGTGGTCAAAATGAAAATAATAAAAGTTGAGTGGTTCATTTGTTAACACTCAAAAACCATGAAAGGAAAATCCACCTTTCTTCCGTTCCGTTTTTGCGGCCTTCTCTGCTTCTGCCACCTAAACGTTTGGTGGATTCTAATTTTGACTCGAATTTATAATAGTCATTTTACAATTTTTTAAAGGGAATATTTAATATTTTATATTATTTAAAATATAATTATTTTAAAGACATATTAAATGAAAATCATTTTATTCTTATTTTAAATAATATATTTTTAAAACTTTTATTTTAATAACTATTTCACCTAATGATTGAAAATGATGATTAGTACTAGATTTTATTGATATGTTTTTTTTAATTCTCTTATTTTTTTGGATCTTTCTCGCACTTTGTTTATTGAATAAAATTTAATTTTGGTCCCTATTATTTATAATTTTCAACCGATATCATCGTTTCTTTGACTGTTTATATTTGTTAATTTTCAACGATTTTAATTCATTTATACTTTTTTTATTA